CAGGAATGTAACTAGTAGTGACAGTATTGTACCAGGATGTTTAAAAAAGATCTCTAGAAATGCAATTTGCAGTTGCAGAGTCCAACCTTCATGTAATGAAAAGGCTCCAATTCCCCTTCTGTTTACTTTCCAGCGGCTCTAAGAAAAGTCTTTAGCAAGCTTCATTTTACAATAGCAGAATACAGAGACCTCACCGCAGAGGAAATCCGTAAGACTGTGAACATCTACCGGTGCGAAGACCACAAGGACAAAGACTGTTTTGTTTGCTGTATCCTGTCTCATGGGAAAAAAGGCATTATATATGGTGTGGATGGGCAGGAAGTACCTATCCAGGATCTGACCACTTCTTTCACTGGAGAGAATTGCCGCTCACTTGCTGGAAAACCAAAAGTCTTTTTTGTTCAGGCCTGCCAAGGTGATGTTTGCCAGAAAGGTGTGACCATCGAAACAGATTCTGGAGAGCAAGATTCTTCTGTAGAAATAGATGCAAGATTTCAGCTCGACTGCATCCCTACAGAGGCAGACTTCCTCTTGGGCATGGCTACCCTGCAAGATTATGTTTCCTACAGAAGCCCAAGGCAGGGGACCTGGTACATACAGGCTTTGTGCCAGCACTTGGAGTACAGCTGTCCTCGGTAACTATGTTTCCATAAGCTGCTTTTTGGCAACACGTGTATTTTCCTTCTGAATGACAGGAGTTTGATTTGGATGCAGAGGTAGATGATACGCAGTGGGAGCGCTCGCTTGGAGTGAAAATAGTAATGTAGGATAGAGCAATACCATATAGATCGTTCAAAGCAGTTTATCTAACTGCTTTGAAGCCTATTTATAACAGGAGCCATTAGCACTGGTATAGATCAAGATATATGAGAATGTGCTAATTTTTCTGACATTAACTGCCACCCTAATGCAAAATATACTTGTGTTTTTGCAGAGGAGAAGATATTCTCACCATCCTGACAGCAGTGAATCAAGAGGTGAGCAGAAAGAGTGGCAATCAGAATGCAGAGAAGCAGATGCCACAGCCCAGTTTCACACTGAGGAAAAAGCTCATCTTTCCTGTCAACTAAATGGGAGGGAACTGAATGGAAGAGGGAGCTGCAGCAGCCTGGTATCAGCTAAGAATTTGGTAAAACGTAACAGACGTGCAGTGGCTGCTCTTCGCACAAGAGCAAATGTTTTTATTGAAAATACAGCCAAGGAGCAAAAGCCTTAAGAAATTTGTGTTAATATGTATGATACTTTATACTTGAGAGCATCTCTGAGCTGGTATCCGATTTGTGGTTTGCTAGCTAAAATATGCTTAGTGTCCTATGAGGTGTACCACATATTGCTGTTGTTTTAAGTAAGGTATCTTTCCAATGCAAATTTTAAAAGACAACTGTTACGGGATCTTGTGTACTTTATACCTAACTTTTGCAAAATAAAGGGGGGGCGGGTACTGCAAATTTTGTAGGATATAATCAGCTCTCATCAGTGTCTTTGTTACTTCTCCCCACCCCTTAAAATAATTTCTTTTTAGTATCTTGGTACATCTCAAGGAAAAGTCAAGCACTTGTCCTCCAGCATCCTCAGCAGGATGTGGCTGTGGCCTGCATTTCAGAGCATCCTCTACGTACAGTAGTTTTAACAGTGAAAATCAGTTGCTCAGGTACAGCTTCATGTTTGAAGCTGTCGTTACCCTGTGTTACCTTCTAGTCTCAGTTCAAAGCACAGCAAAAGAAGAAGTTGCTAGATGAGTACCCAGCTCCTTAAAAACATTTTTATATTGCCTCCTGTGATTAGTGGACACAGAACAGGGAGTTTTACAAGCTCTGAGTAGAAGCTAAAGCTTGTTACAGCTTTCAGCATTAGTAATGGTATCACTGTAGGTGATTATTTAACTAAACAGGTAGATCTTCACTGGAATTGTTCTGAAAGCCTAAGTCCTTCCCTGGACTCCTGTGATAAATACTTATTCTCTCTTTGGTACCAGTTTGTGTCTGCGAAGATAAGGGCAAAGGCATGACAGACTGTGAGAATGATTAGAACTTTAACAAGTGGCAGATGCAGCAAGCAGTTACAGAAGCAGGCAAATCTGTGCTTCCCAATTCTAGGAGTAATTTTCCAAGATAGTTGTTGATGCTTGTTTAGGCATTCATCATGAAACCATTGAGAGTTGTGCCGAAGCAAGTAGAGCTCATATACAGAAGTTTGTCTGTTGCTTGCACATGGCCAGAAAGGTGCAATCCAAGTGGAAGAAACCCTTTTTTTTTTTCTTTATAAGCAAACAAGCATATTATTCCATGAGCAAAATAATTAATGCAATGTTTTACTGTGGATTTTCTGCCTAGATCCCCTCTCCCCCCACACCTTTTTTTTTTTTCTTTATAAGCAAACAAGCATATTATTCCATGAGCAAAATAATTAATGCAATCTGTTTTACTGTGGATTTTCTGCCTCTCCCCCCACATACTGCTCAGCACTTTACCTCTTACGAGTCAAGTCACGGGTGTTCTTCAGCAACTTCTGTGCATACATCTTGGGCTCCCTGCCTGTCACACCATGGCTCCGGCAGAGCAGAAGTGTTGAACTTTCAGTGTTCCCTTTCCCTTAGAGGGAGGAGGCTGCATCTTCTTTGATCTGCATTGTTGACAAAATTTAAGTGAGCCAAGAGATTCTGAAGTCAGAGGTGCCTGACTGACAGCATGCTCACACAGACAACTTTTTCCTTAGGAATCAAAAGGAAAAAAGATACTGCAGATACAACAGTGGGCTATGCTCAAGGAACTAGTTATCTCATCTCAGGTATTCTTGGTAAAAAAATCTGGGGGAATTTTCCAGCAAGATTTAATGCACACCATAAACAAGGTCTTATTAGGAATCTCCTCATATAATGAGTTATGAATCTGATTAGGGATTTTTCATAGTTAGGAATCAAATCTGTCAATTCTCAATCTATCATCTCCACCATTCGTCTCCTCATATAAAGCAAAGCAACTGCCATCCAGCCAATTCGCAAGGAACCCTAGCAGCTCCACTGACCAAGTACAGTCATTCATAGGGAGGAGGCAGGCAGTTCTGGCTCTCACTGACTCAGGGTATTGTCATCGTGTCCCTCCCCTTGGTGCTGTCTTGTTTTCGGTTCAGAGTCAGGATTGTAGGCTGTTGGAGACTGTCAAAAGTCTTTCTTTTAGCAGTGTGACCAACTAAAAGGAAAAGAAGAAAGGACCTCAAGGCACTTCCAAGTCTCATCCGTGCAGAATCACTCCAGAATTTCTTTTCAGAATTGCCACAGTCCCATTGATTTAGGTAGCTTAATAAACCCGTTTTCTCCAGGAAGCTCTTCCTTGTACTTTCCTCAGACACTCCTGAGCTTTTGTGGTTAGTTCTAGCTCTTTTTCCTGCAGCTTCAGAGGGGTTACAGCTCTCTTCCCTCACTACATGCGAAGTGCTAGAGAACAAGTAGAAAAAACAACCCCTCCCCACACTCATACACTCTTACATACAGCGGCAGCCGGCTGTACTCCTCAGGCTCAGGCATTTCAGGACAGTTGAAATCCTGAGTTCAACAGGAACTTGTATACTGACATTTTCTTTTCATGTGGACCATGAACAGTTTTGATGCAGAGAGAGCATGTAGCCAGGAACCCCAATGCTACCAGTATCTAATGTTCCTCTGGTGCCATTTAGCTGCCTATAGCCATGATGCTTCTCCACTCTGGGGACACACTTCTGTAATATCATTAGTTAAGCTGGTAACACAGGCATTTGTTCTGAGGACATGCAGTTACAAACGTTAAATACTCATATGCACAAATACAATGAATATTAGGAAACAGTGAGTTACCTACTTGCTAGTGAAGGAAACTTGGTCAACGTCTCTTGCAACCTAGATACTGGTGTTCCAGCTTGCAGCTCAATCCTGCCTAACGATTTACAGGTGTGACAATTGCAGAGAACAGTGGGAAAAGAATGGCTTCTCAAAATGTCCAACTTGTAAGCTTCAGCATATGAAACGTTGAGCTGAAAAGTCAACTTCAGTCTGACAAGAGTGCAAGCCCTTCTCTCCCTTCCCACATGGGAAAAATAAGAAAGTGAAGTAAATACAGGATACTTACTGTAGGGTAACTCTGCTTCTCAGCTCCTTGAGATGTCATGCACACAGACGACTAGAGGAACCACTGTCAGTAATTGTTAGACTAATTGAAGTAAGAACCTGTTAACTGCAAATCAATGTTGTTCCCATTCTGTACCACTGAAGGAACTGAGAGTTTTGGGGAAAATGATCAGAATCTTCCAGGCTAAAACGTGAGCACAGGGGCTTGCACTAAAGGTGGTATGCACAGCCCCAAGCTGACACAACTGGCAAGAATTTGGCACCTGTGCCAAAAGAACCTCAGCGAGACCTGCACAAAGGGAGTACGCTTCAAGGGTAAGTAGCTTGGTTTCAATCTCGACCCCCATTTATCGCAACTATAGAGAGGGCTGACATAACATCAGCTACTGAGATGGAAAAAACAACAATGCTCCTGTTAGGCAACAGTGTTTTCTAACACTGTAATGCTAGAGGAACACATTAGCTGCTGGAAAATAACAGGAGGAAAAAAAAAGCCAAAACACCACACACACAAATAAACCCCAAAACACCAGAAAACATGGAACACACTAATTTAAAGTGAAGCTGACATTCAAATATTTTGTCTAGAGGTTGATAAGCTATTCTTCATTTGTGAACTTTCTAATTCTTAAAAGCCTTTTCAAACTGCAGCAGAAGGTACTCTGCAAGTATTCTGTTCTAGATTTAAGCATCACATACTTAGCACACCAAGTCAGAGCACAGCTTGTACAGCACATCTGCCACCTGTAATTGCTTAGGTATAAACACAACAGCCAACAGCACAGAACAGCCCGATCAAGTTTTTAAATATATTTTTTAGTTTTTACAGCCACCGCTTATGCAGATACAAAGTCACTAAGTTTGGGTATAGTATCACAATCAATAAATTTTAGCCAAAAAAGGCCTGATTTTAGGTTTATTATAGAACACTGTACTATAGAAGATGACATCTGGAACAAACCACATCAGATGACCAACATACTGAAAAATGGCATGTTATACATGTTTATTTTCAAATTTACATTCCACTATGAAACAACAGGAAGTGCAAAAAGCAGATTAAAAAAAATACCATGAAGTTCCCAGACCATTCAAACATTGTGTGTTATCTCCTCATGTAACAGGCAAATGAGACCCAAACCCAATATTCTCCTTCCCTTTCTCCTGCTGTTTGACTCCAGTAGTCTTTTAACTTTGACCACAGGTATTTTGAGCATGCAGGTATCAGAGTGTTTATCAAAACCAGTGAAACTAGAAGGCTGTACATTTGTGCTTGGTAAAGGCAAATACTGTAAGAATTTCCTTCTCTCTCTCGAAACTTTCACAGGCATGGTTGAGTCCTTTCTTTCTAGCATCTGTTTTTGTCTCAAACCTGCAAGATAGCAGAACCTTTCTGAAATGCTCCTGCTCAACTGAATCACACTTGTGCAGGAGCAAAAGATCTTGTGCAGGATCTCAGCTTAGTCATGCAAGTTTGTCTCCTCTCTTATGGGAGGCAACAGAAGCCAAATCAGTTCCTAGAACGACGTCAACTTTTTTCATGTTCTCTTAAACACATGTGTTATTCAAAAAAGTTTATCTTCTAGGTTTGGCACAAAACAGTAAACTTGGAAGGAATGCCTATTTTCCCTGTTGCTGCAAGCTAGGCATATATATACACAAAATGTGCATGACCATCCAAAGGTATAAAACGCATGACAGAATTTCAACAACACTGCACCACAGCGTAAACCAACCAGAGAAACACATAAACACAATGGTATAGAGATTCTTCCATTTTCTTCTTGCCTTGTTTAAGTATCTGATGATACATCATCCTACAGAAAACAAACAACAACAAACAAAACCCCTCCATATATCCACAGTATTGTTTGAACTGAACCACTTTATATTGTTGGGCTATGGAACATGCCAAAAGACAAACAAATAGCATCACAAGAGAAACGTGCCTTTAATTAATGTGCTTTTAGATTAATTTTAACTGAAACCTGGTCTGCCAAAGGAATTCTGATTTAGCTGATTTGCTGCTTCTGCTGCTAACACTCAGAATGATCTAACGGCTGGAGTTACCTAATGAAGCTAGTTAGAAACACAGTGTAATGCCTTCAAAAATTTATCTGTAATGTACATGTATTCCTACAATAAACACACATAAAATGGACATACTTTTGACATACTATACACTTCCCTGTTGATACCAAATTGTCTAACCATTCGTTAACTCGTTCCTGTTGTTTCCCTAGGAGTTACAAATATGCAGCAGACATACCCGTCTTATTTCACTGGAGAGCAAAATTACCTCCCCAACTCCTTTCACTTTCACTCTCACCTTATTTAGCTAGGCAAGACCCCATGCACAGCCAAGTATGTACAAACATAAATACTTACTTACATGAAGAAATTAAATATTTTTCATTTAAAAAACAAAATTAACCCGTATATAGTTTAAATAAAATTCACGTTTTATAAGTGTAAGATTTTGCTTAGAAAGCAAAAGGCAACTCCAGGAGTTCCTGAATATTTCTGTGCGCTGCTGACAGACAAGTTTCTGCTAAGAATCCCTGTGCAAGTTTGAAGTGGTTACTCCTTTCCCTTTTACAAAAAAGGCTGTTATATCAAAGAGTGAGTCACCACAAGATCTATAGAACTGTAAAAGCAGAAAGGCCACGTTACAGATTTCCTATAAAAGCAGGTTGCAGAGCTTTCTTTTTCTGCCCTACTCCACTCAGCCCTGCAGCAGCAAGGGTGCCGATTGTGGTGGATGTGCCTTGTGGCAAATGCAAGTCAATGTAATTACACTGATGCTTCATACCATGCACCCAGACAGAGACCAGCTATGTCCCACATACACTGTAACAAGCAAGATAAACTTTGTTTTATCTAATTGTATGGAAACCAAAACTTTTTAAAAAGCTTTAAAAATTTTAAAATGTGTGGAAAATAAACTTTAAAATAATTTTTAAATGTTGATAGGTACTGTGAAAAATTACATGAAGATTAAGAACCTGTTTCCATTCAGGTCACTAGTGAAGACCCATTCCTCTGAGGAATTCTGGGCAAACCTTTTTTCTTCTTTAAGTTGCACTATAAATCTATTGTAGATTATTCAGTTATGACTAGAACCTTGGACGGGAAGGAATAAGAAAAGCAGCATAGGCAATGACATTTTGCTGATGACCACTCAGAAATCACATTTCTAAAGTGGACTTCTCTGTTGAGACAGAAAGTCTGTCTCAGCTTCGTTCAGAATCAGGTTCAGAACCCCTTTTCCATCAAAGCATAGGATTTCAATGTAGACAAAACTGATTTATGTTCATTAAAATGCTACAAAGAACACTAGCTTTCATCTTCCTGTTTCTGAATATAGACTGCTAAATTTTGTTCTTAATGAAATCTTTTAAACAAAATCCTGCCTACAACCAGAAATAAGTGAATGAAAGGCATGAAGTTTACTGCAGAACTCTCAAATATACATAACGTCTACCTGTCAAGAGAACAGTTAGCTTACTGAATTTCCAACACTCATCTTGAAGTAAATGCTCTCCGCTTTCCACTTATGCCAAATAAAAAGAAACCCTGAATCAAGCACCTAGGTTGCATTTCTCTTCGCAACACTGAAATGTGCCTGAGATTTTTTTGTGTGTGTGTGTGCAAAAATACCCTCATTTAAAAAGATGCACAGCACACTTTGGAAAGATGTTTTAGCTTGAAGTTTTCACGCTAATACATACTTTCCTGTTTCTTAATTCTTATTCATTGCACCTTCCTCTGTGTGCTTCAGGAGCTCTGGAAAGAAGTTAACTTCAGTTAATACCTCACTGGCACAACTGCACTCTTTCAAAATACAAATCTTGACCACCAGTTTGTGTGTTTGTAAACAGCAGTATTGTTTTCCTACACAAAGATTCTCTCCCCTGCTTCTCAAAGTGGGGAGGAGCTCAAAAGAGTACAGTTTCCAAAATGGAAAATACAAGAATTAAAAAAAAAACCTAAAATCCCAGTTTTCATATTTGCTTACAGAGAGGAACTTGGATCAGTAATGCTGGTCAGACTGACTGTTACTTTAATATTATATTTAAATGATAGAGTCTGACTGCTAACAACTAGTAAAATACTATGGTCATACGGTGGAAAAAATAGAACAGCACCTGCAAGACAGTTCTACACATACAGTTTAAAAGGTTAAAATACTGAGAATGTCTTAAAAAAATTGTATTTTATTTTTGCTTAAGTTAAGACAGATGCTGAAAGGGGTCTCAAAACTAAGCTTTGGTTTCTTCTTTCTTATCTTCCACAAAAGCCTTCTTCCTCAAACCCAAGCAATGTTCTCTTTCTCCTTGATCCCACGCTTCTCTCTCACACATCTTTAACGTGCACATGCCCTCTCCAACTCTTCTCTAACACACCTAACAATGCCTGTACTGGATGTTTATCCCTCATGTATTATGTACTATGCTAGAAGTCAACCATTTTTCAGATCAGTCAGTCCTCCTTTAGGATATCCATTTTTGATGACTGTGTGCAAACTGGAGCTCCCAATGCTCCAATCATGGCTGGAAGACTCTGGTTTCTTCTCAGTCCTGCCATTAAGTTGCTACCTGCATTTAAAAACACAGCAGAGTCCTGCCTCCGCAAGCTAACCTCTGGCCCCTGACTCTTCCTGTGGCCCTGTGTCTCAGGGGGCTTGACCACCCTGGCAATACCAAGCCTCTTCAGTCTGTCTACTAGGTTCATCTTCAGCTGGCCTATATCTGGAGCATTACGGGAGGGCTTTAGGCCATACATCTCTTGCAAGAATGTTTCTGCTGGTCGAGAAGCCAGGAAATTTTCCGAGTGATGCACTCGAGGCTCAAACAGTGGAGGGGAAGGACAAGGTGAACGCAAAGGAGAATTTGGTGGAGTAGAAGGAATGGGGAGAATTCGAGGGGGCTGTAGCAAAGGCAGTTTTTCTAATACAGGGCTATCGTAAACCTTGGCAGAGATGCCTCGTTCTTGCAAAAGTTTAGCCAGAGTGCTCGTGCTGCTGAAGGTAGTAGTTGAATCTCTTCTGTTGGTGAGAAATTCTCCAATACTGAGCCTGTAAGACATGGCTGGAGTGCTGATTACTGGGTTTCCAATACTGCTGCCAGTATTTCCAAATGAAAATGGGGCACTCATGGAGCTGAAATAAAATAAAAATGAAAGAGAGAAGATGCATAGATTAAACATCTTTATACCTGCTCTCTGCTTGCCTTTTAGTATACAGAAGGATCGATAACAAGTAAATTGTTGCTATTCGCTGTGACAATTTCAGCTTTAGTAGATTCAGAATTATTGTTCCGCAAAATATTTAGAAAATACTAGGTTGACAGAGAGGTTTTGGTGCAAGTACCAATGAATTTACCTTCTGTGGTCACCTATACTGTATTAGATAGAATATCAACACAGACATCCAGTAATAACTTAGTTTTAAAAAAAAAATGACACAATTGGAAAAAAAAAGTTATGGTAGGTTTTGGTTTGTTGTTTTGTTTGTTTTTGTTTTTTTACAATAGGTATACGATACAAGGCATTTGCTATTTAAGAGTATAAACTTACTTCCTTTAAGTTATCTAAACCGTTTTAACTTTCACTCTAGAGAATTTCAAGTTTCCCCTTTATAATTACAACTACTAGTATAAGTAACATATGATGTGTTGCCTAGCTGCCTTGGCATTTTTTAAAACTGGTCCATATATCAGAAGCCAGAAAGCAACTGTTTAATCCTATGCAGCAACATTTAGGATGCCAGCAGTCATCATACCTGGGAGTAACTTGAGTGACATCAGATGGGTGAAGGATCCTACAGGTAGTAAAGGTAAACGTGGAATTTGTGGAAGACAGACACTTCCCTGGATTTGAGGCTGCAACGTGGAGAATTTACATTCATTGAGGGTCAAAATAAAGAGAGGTAAGGACTAATCAAAGCAAAGTTTAAGATAATGTTATTATCACTGCTAGTTTTAAGTAAAGAACAAAGACAGTAAAGACAACATTGTCGCAAGGTCAAATACTTTCCATTGAGAAAAAGACACCGTCCAAAAAAAAAAAAAAAAAGAGGAAAAAACACTAACCATGCCTCTTACCAGTGAGTGGTACTGCCGATGAAGTAATAGGTGGCAGGAAAATCCCTGCCATGGGCTTTGCCACTGTACGTTTCTTTTCCTCCGGGAAGGACTGTTTCACTTTAAATGTTATACCTCCACCTTCTTCCTCGTCATCCTCCTCCAAGTCAGAGATGTGGTACACAGTATCATCAGACAGAGGGGTAAAACCTTTTGTAACAACACCTGGTCGTGGATCAAGAATGGTGCCTAGGTTGGGTCGAGCAAGTTGCTGCCAGTGAAAAAGGGTCTGAGATCCTGGTGGGACAAAGAGAGGAGTCTCAGAGAGACATTACCTACTATCATACTGAGTTACAAGAATTCATGATCAAAACTCCAGCCAACTGGTGCTGACACTGTGATACACATGTCGCACTTGGATGGCAGTGTCAAGAAAGAGCCTAACACTTAGCACCACATCAGAAAGCCAAGTAGAAAGTGATACTGATGAGCTACTTGGCATGTAGCCTACCAAATACTACTACTTCCTCTTACTGCATATCATACCTAGCTATACACACACCACCGATGATTTAATTGGCAAATTAATGTAAAATCCTTTTCTGCTGATCAGAGAAGGAAGATCATCCGCTTACCTTCAATGGGTTTGACAATTTGCAGTTTTTCTGGTAGGAGGACACGGAGATTACCAGAGCTGGCAGAGAGATCAGTGAATTCTGAGTTTGTACCCAGGGAAAAATGGCTTTCTGTTGGTGTACTACAGCCACTAGCCCCTTCTTTCTGTTCAGCCAGTATATGCATTTTTCGCTCCCATTCCTCCTCAAAGAACTGCTTCTCACTCAGGTAGTTCTGGTGACGGAGGGAGAGCCTGTGCAGAGCTGTGACTAAGTCATTGTCTCCAGGGGTTCCCTGCTGGTCAGGATTATGAATGTCTCTGTGAGAAACATCAAATAATAATAGATATTAAGGCCATTAAATTAACTATTTCTTTCTTACACAACAGAGGTCCAGTCTGTTTTGAATCGGTTCATTTAGAAAGAATATTAACAGGCAGCGTTTCCTACTTCAAATTCTTCTCAGGGCTGCTCCTCTGGGTCATCCATGTGTGGCTCTCCAACTGGTGTACACCAGACTGGAAGGGCTTTGCTGTCATAACAACACTTGACCGATTAGATCCAGGGATTGGCAATGGGGCAGGAAAGGAAGAGGAGCGGCCACGAGTGACATTAGCAACCTTGACAGTGTCAAATACTCGTTTCTGTTGACCCCTGCAGAAAAGACAAGCAAACAAACATGGTTTTCAGAAGGATTTTGAAAAAGATATAATAAAGAAAAAGGAAAAAGCTCTGAACAAGTCTTTGAAAAGTCTGCAGAGAGCTGACTAAAAAGATTTAAGTCCAGAAAAACAGGATTGCCTAAGACACTCATGTTTTCAGTAGTACTACTCTTTTAAATATCAGAATTACCACTTACTTCGACCTGAAAGACCTGAACCTCTATTGATAACCACCTGAGAACATCCAGGAGCATATATTTTGTTCATTTAATTTATATATGCTTTCAGAAGCATGTATTTAATTTATTACTTCTTGCTCAGGAACAGGTCTTCAGGACTTTGGAAACTGTTATCAGTCTTTCAGCTATAATTTAATTTGCCTGAGAATTTTTCTATAAAGTATTTAAAAGGGATAAAACTAGTGCTGTGCATCAGAGAATTTGCATCAAAAATCTCACAAATTAAAGAGTGAAATAACATCCTTTTAGCAAATTCCCAACTTCCTCATAGAATCAAGTAAGAATAGTAGGTTTCAAAGTTGAAAAGATTACCAAGTAATAAAAGCTTTTTTAATTAACTTACACAGAAAAATTATTATAGAGGGAACTTTCACATTTATAGTTTTCCAGAAATCACTTTCACCTTACAGGCATGTGGAAAAATATCAAGATAGTACATAGAGATCTGAAAACATACTTGTGCTTGGAGAGAACAGATTCATCACCCTGACTCAATTCCTTCCGCATTGTCCCTTCAATTTCTGCTGCAAGGGAATCCTAGAGAAAAATGGAAACCAGAATAGTTGACAAATTAGATTCAAGTCTTCCTCCTAACAATCTTAGCAGAAAACATCTCTAAAAAAATACTCAAAAAATATTAATTTGTTTCCCCAGTATCAGTATGTTTCGCACAATGCCTTTGGTCACTAAATGTGGGGCCGGGGGGGGCAGTCTTCCACCATAACTACACCTATGTATAACTAGTATGGGTTCAGTTTTCATTAGCAACATCTGCTTTTTCTTGGTCCTCTTTATGTTGGTTTCTTAAGTCAAGCTACAATTTTAAGAGCACTTCTTACAATGCCAAACACATACATGAGGGATTCTGTACACAAAGAACAACCAACCAAAACCTGACAAAATCCTAGCACAGCCCAGAAATTTTTGAGAGTACATTAATCAGAATCTACCTGACACTAATAAGAAGAGGAAAATAAATGCCTTTAACCCTTTTCCATTGGTTTAGTCATCTCTGGCAATTAGTCTGAGGTCATGCATTTCTGACAATGCTTAAAATTGAATCTCACAAGATAAGGACATAAAATTACATCATAAACTATGTAAAGGAAGAAAAACTCTTTGAGCTCTTGAAAAGATGCTTTGTTTCTTAAAGAAACATTGTCAAATTATAACATTCACATCAACATTAAACAATAGACTAGCACAACTGAGCTCTAGCTGTAGAAGATGCCAATTCCTGTACTTAAGAGAAAAGGCATATAAAAAGGAAAAAGAATTTTAGTATCACAATATAGCAAGTTAATGATTAGCTTCCCAATACATAAAATTCTCAGAAGTGTACACATTAAAGAATTGAAAAAGCATCAGATCAGTTCCTTTGCCTACTACAAAATAGTTTCTGCTGCAGCTCCTGTAACGGCTGTTTTGCTCATATAGTTGTATGCTACTACAGGCCATATGAGCCAGTAGGTGTATGTCACCCTAGAGGTATTTATTACCACAGGAAACGCTCCACATGACTTGGGGTGGCAGAGACAAGAAACAGAGCTGGCTCTGCTGCGCAGCAACTTCACTTCTTCTTGTGATTCATGCAACATCCCTAGACACTCTGCATTCCGATCTTGCAACTCATGTAGCTGAAAGAGAAGAGGCTATCATGAGATACCAGTAAGCTTCAAAGGCAGAGTGAAACTGAATTAACTCCTACAGAAACCTGTATCGACTAATTCAACACCACTATTTTTCCAACTGCACGGCACATGCCAACATCTGGCACGGACCACAGTCAGCATAGCCCCTGCACCAATGCTAGCAGTGAAGCATGAAGTCCAAACTAAGACCCAAAAGAGGAAAAAGTATGATAAAATTCAAAGGAAAATACATCAAAAAACTCTGCAAATACAGTAATTGCTGATGCAAATGAAGCAAAAAAAAGAACTTCCTTAAAATGTAATGAGCTACAGTATTGTTGATATAATCAGTAATATTCACACTAAAACACTCTTTTTCTTCTAACCACTACGAATAGTAAGACCTGTCTGCTTGAAACACCTTCCTTGCCTTTCATATTCCTGTGGACTACAAAAATATTTGTGTAGACTTAAATAAAAGCAATCATTCTTTTCCTACAATCATATTACTCCAACCACAATGAAAAATGAAAAGCCCTACATAATTAAAACGCAATAGTACCCATTCTCTCAAGTCTTCTTTCTCTTGTATTCTAGTCTAAACATTTATCTGAATGTGTGTGTGTATATATATAAGCCTTAAGTACCTCTGCTGTCAGTTGTCTCTGAGCATCTTTGGAAGCTTGTAAGTGAAGTTTCAGCTCCTCCTTTTCAATCACATGCTGAAAACATAAAAAGGCGCTCATCATTTTCTCAGCCGATTTCCCTGACAGTTGATCCTCTGCCATATCAAACAGCCACTCTCTTGCAGGGTAATCCCCTAGCTTGCAAGTCAATATTTACGTGCTCTAAGCACTGACCTGCGCATATGCGCACGCACACACACGTACACTCTTCATCAGCATTCCCTTACTTCTTTGAGCTTATGTTGAAGATCAACAATCTGAGACAAGAGGGATGAGATCTCTTCCTGGTAGCGAACCAACTCCTCACTCTTCTCTGATAACTCCTCTGTTATTCTGGAAATTTGAGCATTTGTTTGCCCTACAAAACATAAAAAGAACTTAGCAGAGAGCTCTTCCCAACACATGACAAAAAAACAAACCAAATGCAAACACCAGAAAAGATCAGTGCAAGTTAACAACGATCTCCAAAATGACCAATACTCAGGAAATCAACTCATAGTACATAAGAGTAAGTGCCTTAGAACATCCATAAGGAAAAAGATAAAGAGAAATGGTGGGGAGGAGGCAGAGGACAGAGAGAGTTAACTTCAAATGCAGGTGTAACATATCAAGAGCTAAGGATGCAGAACCTGAAATAAATATCACAGGTATGTGAAATGACCATAATAAAACCCAAGGTAAGCTGCTATAAACTATTTCAAATGACATACTGGCTCATGACCAAGGCCAGACTTGGAATACAATGAAGAAGTCAGGCTCTAAATTGACCTTGTTATTAACTACCATTCTCTTAAGCAAAGGCATTTTGTCAGACCTTGTCAAGCATAACATACACCTATTCAGCTCTTGATTCTGGTCACTATCTATTTATTCCCCAAAGACCCAGTACAAGCAATTCCCAGTTTCTTTTTTTCATTGAGCAATCACTTCATCAAGTGAGATGACAAAGCAACTCAAAAAGATGAAATATTTTTATGCAGTTAGTATTGCTTGTATACTTGCCCTAAAAGCATAGCAAAGTCATAATAAAGTCTGATCAATCTTGCATAAAGGTCACACTACAAATTTAGTTGTTATGGTACCTCATAGATTTACTGCAGAACAAGGTCCTGCCCATGGCCCTGTGGACATTTAAGCTCACAGTCAGATACCTTTTCCCTGAAGACACAAATTTTAAAGCTGTAGACTAGATGTCTTTTGGGAGAAGATTCTTTCTCTGAGTCTATATTTGTCCAATTCTGTAGCACAACAGAACTCACAGCCATTCTCATTGAAGGAAAAAATAAGAAAACTTGTATGAAAAAACTTCTATTTGCAAAGGATATACATTTTCTCTGAGGGAATCAAGTAAATTAACAACTAACTATGTATCAGTTCATAGTATTTTATGGTCATCTGGAACAAGAAAAACTAAGCAGCAACTCAGTCTTCTTTATGGTGGTTGTATAGGGAAAAAAATCTTAAAATATAAGCTTAAGGTTATTACGCACAAAGGAAGTAGCACACATCAAATGACTACACATAAAAAATTGTACCACCGGGTTACACAATCACCACACACAAAAAGGATTGTTCCTTATTGTTTCAGAATACTTACATGCATTTGTGTAAGAGCAGCTGCAATTCTTTGCAAATAATTAGTCCCCAAAGGAAATACGGACAACTGTTCTAGACAAATTAAAGCTCTTGCCAATTTAAATGCTTTGGTTTATAAAATATATTTTTAAAATAAACTAACAATTTCATAAATATATAGTAGTTTAGAATGAGCATTTAAGAGTCTATGCACTGATATATTTCAATGTCATGTGTACTGAATACTCTACACAAGAAATATATTTTGTTGACCTTCCAGTGTCTGTAAGCTTCAGTTTAGGAGGTTTATGACCATTAGATTTTGTGTTCATTTTCTGTCTCTAAACACAGTACACACACCTGAAGTCGATCGCCAGAGTGAAACTTGATGAAATACAGAAACGATTTTGCACTTGGGTAAAGAGCAAGAATTGAATAATTGCCATAAATTACTGAAGCTCATTTTCGGATTCAGGGACAAGTAAGAAGGTGCAGGCACCAGGTATTTCAAATGCCATTTTGCCATTGCAAGATATAGCGTGGATACTCACGGAGCTCTTTGACACAGTCATTGACCAGCTGCTGTTCCTTCTCTTCATATGTAATGGTTTCAGTCTTCAGATGGCAAGCCTTTAAGAAAAATACTAGTATTCCAATTTCAGTTTATCTATATATTAATGTTAGAAATTTTTATTTCTGAAATTCTTGCAACTGAGGAGTATCCTCTCTATCTTTATAATTTCTATGCATCTGGCCAGACTTCTTAACCGTTTTTTCCACCATAATCTGTTTCCCTGAATTGTATAGGTCTTTCGAGTGAAAGATACACAGACACTCAAACAAAACCTGATTGCTCTCGTGCCTCTAATAAAAAATTGTTGCAAAAATATGTG